ATTTTTCCTTCAAGTGATGGATTCTTACTGTGTCCCATTCAAAATATTTTTGGCAATTCAAAGCCAATATTTGACTCTAAATATTTTCCACTTGTCAAGCTTTAAAAAAAAAATTCTTTCTAATGTGGGCACCTGTATGTCCCAGAAGTTCCTCTGCCCCTCCATAGTTTGAAGAGTCTCTTTTAAGAGTTTCTGGGTGTCTTTGGCTGAAACAAAGAAAATGCTTAAAAGGGACATCTAACTGTAGAGAATGGATTGCTAGTATGAGTGTATTCCCTCAGGCCCCCAGTACATGACAGCCCAGTGCCTCCACAATTGAACAGATTGCAAAGGTTTTTGTGAAGCACGTGAGAAATTTTCTCTCAAATACAAGTTAGTAGGAATTAAGTACACCTTTCTGGAGCACACATAAAGGAGAGGTGAGCTACATTTCTCCCAGTTATGTCATCAGATAGATACCCACGTGAGAAAGGAAGTTTAGATTACAAAAAATAAATAAATAAATAAAGGTACTGGATGTCTAAATTGCATGCATGTAATAAATATTGAGAAAGAAATTTCTTCTAAGAAAGGAACTTATATCCAAGTTATAATATTTCCTTGATTTTAAAGTCATACATATAGAAGATAGTCTGAAATACTAGAACAGATATTGCAACAAATATATTTGGTCTCACTTTTACAAGATTCTGGCCAAAAACAAACCAAACAAAAAACAACAAAAATCTACTAAGTGAACCCTTCCCTTGTTACCCAAGGTACCTTTCTTTTAGCAATAAAGTGATCCAGGTTTCAAATACAAGAAAATGCCTATATTAAGAGACACTGATGTAAGTGTTACATGGTGACTAATATTTTAAAATTAACACAGGAACTTTTGACTTTTCTGATTAGATAAATAGATACAGATAATGATAGAGACAGAGATATAGATACAGATATATTCTGAGTCAGAGGAGATGGACAAATGCATTAATAATCCCATTTTTCTAATGGCTTCAGAAAGAAACAAATGCCTGTGGAAATTCATCCAAGATTACACCCAGATCTGGTTGTTTTTTAGCCTAAGTGCCTTATGCACTGGTACTGGTCTTGTCTTATGCACTTTACTGTGTCCCTCTATGGTAGAGATGGTCTCCTTCCCAGCTCTGCATGGTGCATCAAACTCTTCAGCAGCATTCAGTCTGTAATTAACCTTACAGCATGGGAATGTTGTATGAGATCATTGTTGTTGTTGTTATGTGCCGTCGAGTCGGACCTGACTCGTAGTGACCCCTCCTTGGGTTTCCAAGGCAGTATCACTATGGAAGTA